ATAGAGGTAGTTACCAATCTGGAATAAAAGAAGGTCTGAACTATATTTTGAAGGTTAAATCAATCACTTTTCTAACTATTCTTACTTTTTCTAAGCAGCTCAACGGAAATTCCTGGTCAAGCGATCAGATTTCATTATCAGAAACTGAACTGCATGTCTTCGTCGTGAGGATTTAGAGTTTCGAAAACAGGGGATGTTATAATTTTAAAAATAAGAAGAAACGTTACTAACAAAAAGTCTATCATTTGATTTTAGAAAAACCATGACAAAATGTAAAATTCCTGAAGATTTTGAGCTCATCCAACAGATTAAAGGGATTTCCAGACTCTGATCAAATGAACCGATAGCTTGGACCATTTATGAAATAATTGCTGAGATCAATATAAGGGGAAGTTTTAGAAGGAAAAACAAGTTCTACTCACATCCAAAGCGATGTCAGCGGACAAGTCTCGGATATTCTTGTGCCTTGGATATAATCTCGAGTAAACATTCAACGATTTCTCCGTTACAGATGCGGCACAACGCTAAATTACCTACTTCATTCAGATTTCATTGCAGAACATCTTCATATTCATGTAAACATACCCTTGCCGCAATCAGGAATGTTTCATTAGGTATGCGTTTTGCTTTGAATAGAACAGCACCTAAGGCTACACCGGGGAATATGTACGAATTGTTACCCTGTCCCGGTTTGAACAGTTTCCCGTTCATCTCTACATCTTCGAACGGAGATCCCGAAGCGAAGAGCACTTGCCCCTAAAAACGTTTATTCGTTAAGGTTTTGCAAAATACCAGCAAGAAGGTAACCAAACTAAAAACAAATGGGCAATTGGAAACTTACATTGGTATATTTGTATGCATCCTCAGCTGTGCACTCAGCTTTACTTGTCGGATTTGAAAGAGCAAAAATGATTGGTCGAGGATTTATTTTAGCCATTTCACGCAAGATTTCTGGGGTAAATGCGCCACCAACAGTAGAAAGACCTTAAAATCCAATAGTAAGTACTCGTGGACTCAGATAGGTAGAGTGTTTTTTTACCTAACAATGCATTTGGCTTTACCATCTTCACTACCTCAAGAAGGCTTTTTGTGAAGGGAAGATCCTAAAATGGTAGCTGATATAGTTATATCATTCGATAAGTTTTTCGAATGAACGAATATCGAATATTCGTGCGCAATAAAAATATTCAAACGAACGAATACTATTCGAATCGCCATTTAAAATGCATACGAATTCGAGTCGAGTAGAATCTTGTATATTCGACTAGTCGAGTTACCGAATAATTGGGCATGACCGAATATTCGAATATTCAAATACCAGAATATTACGTTTTTTCGAATATTTAGCTATTCGAATGGCGAATAAGCGAATTATTCGATATTTCAGTCAAAAATAAATACTCATTCTCAATCATCTTCGGTGATTCTGCAGATACTCGATCGAACAAATATTCGATGACATTCGCAAACATTCAAATAATCGAATACTAATCGGATCTCAGTCCCAAGATGATCCAAACTCGAATATGTGAATGTCGATGTTTCAAAATATTCGACCACTCGAACAAACGAATGCCTTTTTTTCGAATATTCGACTATTCAAAAATAATAATAGCAACTGAGTAACGCGCTCGAATATCCGAATATCGAAAATTCGAATTAAAAAATGTTCGAATATTTTACTCGAACATGAATATTCGGTCTCAACAGTAGCTAATAGCTATGTTCTTTAGTGACGCAATCACACTCTTATGTTGGAATTAATCTTCAGTCACTCCTTTGAAAGCATGGAGTTGAATAGTGTCCCGCTCTCATCTCAAAGTAAAGATGAAAAACTTCCAAAAAAGTAACTGTTTCCATGTCCGCAAATGCAGAACAAACCTACCTTTGCATATTGTTGTGCACGAGCAGTCAAATTCTTAGCTTTTTCCTTTGTGATCAGGCCTTTGCTGTTTAGAAGGAATATACGAGCCTGAGCTTGCTCTCTCGTAAGGCCTTCGGACATCATCTGGGTCACAATCAATTCTGATATTCCTAGCGTAGCCTAGAGTCATAAATTCGGTTACATACGAAATAAAGAGTAATTG